TCACCTTAAACATAAATATATAAAAAGTTAAACCGTAAACTAAACAACTAAGAGTAACAATAATAATTTTGGATAAAACCGACTTTAGATCGAACTCCATTTTCAAAGGAAAGTGCACAGGGTCAATTCACTAAGAAGACACAACTATAATCAATATCTATGTGCCAGTGACAGAACTCCAAAATTGTAAATTTTGCAAAGAAAAAGAATTCTAGTTTTTATTGTTCATTACCAACAATGTGGGCATGATTCGTAGTGACCCCGTGTACAACAGAAACAAAGCAAACGTTCCCAGCCTGTGCCACTCGCACGACTGGTATCCGCCAGCCAATTGCAGCAGCCACTGCCTTAATCTGCCTTGGTGAGCTCTTTCTCCTTCTTGATTGCTCGTGTGGTCCAGAACCAAACTGCGTAGTGTCAGTACTGACTCATAGCGATGCTATATATTGGAGTAGAACTGCCCCTTTGGGTTTCCAAAGCTAGCTTTAAGGGAGTAGAAAGCCTTGTGGTTTCTAATTATTGACCTTGACTTAGCAGTCCAATATGGAACCACTATTCCCCCAGAGCTGTTTTAATGGTAGTAGATTTCAAAACGCTGCTTTTGATGATAAACAGGTAAATCAGAAGAAACTCAACAAAGATACAAAGGACATAATAATTATTGAAGCCACTGGCAGAGGTCACCTTTCAGTCCAATAATAGATAGGCCTATAGAATAAGCAATAGCACCCAGAGAACTGTGGTAATTTAAACAGTCAACTCCAAGGTCACACATTCAACATTTGCCCAAAAGGAAAGATGAGAATGCACGAAGGGTCACTGGATGGATGATAGTGAGGAAGATGGGGTGAAAATAGAGAGAATGGTGGCACCTTTGGGGATTGTAACCAATGTCTCAGAACATTTTGGATGTGAACTATTGGATGGCAATCAAATTTGCTGTGTAAATTGTCACTAGACTCACAATAAAATACATGCTTTGAAAAGCCCCTTACACATTTGCATTTTCACCTTAATATCCCCAGACAGATCATATTAAAATCTTAGTAAACTGTTACTAAATACAAAACAAAACAAACATTTTTAAATGGAGTGAGCGGCTCATGCCACTGCTAGATTGGGGCTGAAGGAAATTGTTTTTGTCTGTAGAAACAAAAGTGTGTCCTAGCATAAAACGGAGCTCAAGAAACAGTAAAGCAATTATAAGATAGAATTCAACATAAAAAGCCAGTTTCTGCCCTTCAGTCCATTCCGACTCATAACGACCCTATAGGATAGAGTTGAAATGCCCCTGTGGGTTTCTGAGGCTGTAAATCCTCATGAGAGGAGACAGCTCACCTTTCTGGAGTAGAGCTGTTTGTGGTTTCAAACTACTGATCTTGTGATTAGTATTTCAACTAGTGGCCGAGCAGGGCTCCTTTGTGAGAGAACAGTGTCTGAATTATGCTGTTATAATTACCCCAGAGTCTCCCGTACCTCTCCTTTGTTCCCTTTCCGATGGGATTCCATACTCAATAAAGTCTCTACACGTTCCTCTCTCCTCCACACCTGTCTCTGCTACAGACACTTTTTCATATTTTGCTATTTTACAAGAAGATCGGTAATTGGAAAAATAAAGTCACTACTTCCCTCCACCACAGGCAAATGGAGGTCAGACTACACTTAGGTTTTGAGGAACTGGAAAGGTTCTAAAACAAACCTGCTCATAGAACACCTTTTAAATTAAACCTGTTCTCTGTGCAATTTCTTTTTTTAAAGTTATGATAATATCAAAGTTTGTGCATTCCATATGCATTTTTCAACTGTATGTGCACTACGACCATAACTGTGTGATCAACTTTTAATTTTTTCTAAGTATTTCATACTTTTTGGAAATAAGTTGTTATTTATTTTGAGTCACAATGCCACATTAAAATGTCATATTGATTTACTAATGTAAAAGGGTTTCAAGTGACTGTTCATTAAGAAAAACACTTTATTGTGAATTCGGTCGGGGGTTGCATATCAGATCATCATGTTTACATTCAACAACTTAACTTATCAAACCTCCAAGTGGTTCACTCTGCTTTTACCCTACTGTTTTTCTCATCTCCCTCTTAAATTACCCCTTTCAAATATTTAAGTCTTTATATAAAAACATAGTTGCTGAACTATATTCTGATCCTTTTGTGAAGTACAAATTCAGAGTAAGTCAATATATTTAAGAATAATGATCTATGGACTGGAATGTATTCTGATTTATTAGAGTTACTTTTATTCAATAATCATTTTTGAAAATAGTAACATTCTTTCGAGATAAACTCATCAGTAATTCCTGCAAAAATATTTACTGAAATGAACAAAACATTGACTAATACAGGGTTCTAGGAGCAATCTAGTACTGTGAGCTTTTAGGAAAGAACATGACCAATTATGATTTATAGAACACGAGGGACAAAATCCAGCATTGCGTGCTTTTGATTATTTCTGTCCATCTCCCTTTCTGTACCTCTGAATATATTTTACTTGAATTTCCATATTTTTATTTGCTTGTTATCGTTCTCATGTTTTAGTATTCATTCAAGTTCATGATTTAGTTTCTGGAAGAAGACAGAATTTAAAACTCCAGTGTTAATTGCCCGTCTCAACAAGATTTGTCTTAAGCATCAAAAATCTGTAAACAAATACAGTTGTCTCAGTTATTTTCTGCTTTTGTTTATTTATCTTGATTTTATTCATCTATTCTAAGAGGCCAAGAGCCCTTACAGAGAATGTTTTGGATATCTTTCCACTTATTTTTCCCATTGCAACAATAAAGGTTAGACAATTAATCTGGGGAAATTGTGCTTACATTAGAAATATAAAAATGAAAACAATAATAATTTATCAGGAATTCATGAGGATGGGAGGGTGAGGAAGATTGGGGAAACAAACGGAGTTGATACCAAGGGCTCAAGTAGAAAGAAAATGTTTTGAAAAGGATGAGGGCAACATAGGTACAAATGTGCTTGATACAATGGAGGTATGGATTGTTGTAAGAGCTGGAAGAACCCTCAATAAAATAATTTATTAAAATAAAAGAATGTGTATAAATGGATATTTGTTCAGAATGATATAGCAACTGCCCCTATAAAATAAACATTAAGAGCATAATGCAGACACACTGTTTTCTCTCAAAGGCAGCCTGAAGGCCTAGTGGATTAGGTGTTGAAATGCTAACCACAGGTTCTGACCTATATTTCCATTGCTAAAGGGTCATGGGGAAGGTTAGTTAGCAAGATCACCTAATAAAATTGGAAAGTATGTTGAATTGCTCAGATGGATTATTTTCTTTAGTGTCAAAGGTGTTGCTGCTACCTATTGTTTGAGGATTGAACATACTATGGGAGGCGCTTTTTAAAAATTTATTTTCTACACATTCTTCTGGAAGCTATTGTTTTGGGTCAGACATCGAAAGCGGTGATACTATTCAAGGCAGCGATTTGTGGTGGGGTTTCGTTGCTAGGTCCCATCAAGTCGGTTTTGATTCACAGCAACTCTGTAGACATTAAAATGAAATGCTGCCTGGCCCTGGTCTCGGGCCATCCTCACCATCATTGGTATGCTGGAGCCCATTTTGCCACTGTGCCATCTTGTCGAGGGCCTTCCTCTTTATCCCTGCCCCTGCACTTTTCCAAGCGTGATGTCATTCTCCAGGGTCTGATCTCTCCTGATGACAGGTCTAAAGCACGTGAGATGAAGTCTTGCCATCCTTTCCTCTAATGAGCATTCTTACCTTATTTTCTCTGAGACATATACTTTTATCCTTTTAGCAGTCCATAGTCCTGTCACCAGTCTCCTCCAGCACCACATTTCAGATGCATAAATTCTTCTTCAGTCTTCCTCATTCAATGTCCAACTGTCACAGGCATACAAGGTGCCTTCAAATACCATGGCTTGGCTTAGGTGTACCTTAGTCCTTACAGAAATACCATTGCTTTTCAATACTCTACAGACATCTTGTGCACTAGATTTACCTAATGCAGTAAGTACGCCTTTTGATTTCATGACTGCTGCTTCCATTAGTATTGACGTGGATCTACACAAGGCACAATCCTTGACAATGTCAATCATTTCTTCATTTATCATGATGTTACCTTTGGGTCTGGTTGTGAGGATATTCTTCACCTTTACATTGAGTTGTGTTGCATTCGGAGAGGTGCAGTCCTTGATCTTCTTCAGCAAGTGGTTCAAATCCTCACTTTGAGCAGATAGTGTTGTGTCATGTGCAGCTTGTAAGTTGGTTAATAAGCCTTCTTCCATTCCTGGTGCTACATTTTTCTTCATATAATGCAGCTTCTCTGATGATTGCTCACCATACAGATTGAATGAGTATGGTGATACATTGCAAACCTGATGCCCACCTTTCCTGATTTTAAGTCATGAAGCATTCCCTTATTCTGTTCGTCTTCTGGCTCTTGATCCATGTACAAGTTCCACGTAAGCACAATGAAGTTTTCTGGATGTCCCCCTTTTCTATAGTTATCCACAGTTTTATGATCCACACAATTGAATGCTTTTGCATATTCAATAAAACTCAAATAATCATCTTTTTGGTATTTTCTGCTTTGAACCAAAATTCACCTGACATCAGCAATGAAGTTCTTTGTTCCACATCCTCTTCTGAATCCAGCCAGAACCTCTCGTAGTTCTCTGTCGATGTACTGCTGCAATCTTTGTTGACTGATCTTCAACAAACTCTTGCTTGGATAGGATGTCAATGTAGTGGGAGAGCTCCATGTATTTGTCTGTATTAGGAACACAACAACATCTTCACACATCATTGCAAATCTGATTCTACCTTTATATTTAAGACCATTGATGAAAAGATATAGTGCAGGAGTTGGAAAACTTCTTGTGTATGGAAGTTAATATGCCTTTTTCTAGTTAATAAAATGCACACAGACAAACTTGCATTGTAATTATGATTATATTTTCTAAGTTTATTGAATATTCTCATTAATTTGCAATTTATATTTTAGGTTTCAGTGGCATTGATAAGTCTATTTGAAACCATACTACTTGGTTACCTCAGTTATAAGGTAAGTTATTTCACTTGGCAGTTATTTTGCTGATAGAAAATATTCTAATATTCTTCTATTTTTGCATTTATAGTGTGTGAATAAGGCCAGATCTTCCTAAATGATTCTAATTATTTTGGGTTTCTCTGATACAGAATAAGAAACTATAGTAATACAGATATTTTCATTGGTGGGTTAAACATGCTTCACCGTTTTGTGTGGGTAAATGTACACATTATGTGAATATCTACTGTGAGAGAATCAAAAGGAATGGCCTGGAGTTTTATTGTCCATAACCTTTGTTCCTGACCTAGAGAAAAACATTGAGGAAGCAAAAATATGTGTATTAAAAATTTTGTTAATGAAATATTGCATTTTATTTCTTATTGAGCCCAGATTTGGGGAAAAGCTTTACACTGTGCACTATATAACTTACTTTATTGGAGCTGGTAATCTAGAAAGAGGAGACCAGGAGAAAATTGTACATACATTAATAGGACCAGGGCGAACTTCGTAGGCGTTTTCACTAAGGTGAAAATAAAGTACTAAGGGGCTTATAAAGCAGGGCATTGTTCTTTGTTAGTTACCTGTCATGGAAGAGGAAGGGGAGAAGTGGAAGTTGTAGATTCAAGAGTAGACAGGTGTACATTGGGTGAATGGGAAGACATTAGTCTAAAAGAGGGAGATGGGAAGGAAAGGGGGAAGGTGCGAATAGGGCAAGCCATGCAGAGAATTGAGAGACTGCCCCAAAAAATGATCTAGTGTGTACTCCTCCAATTCACAGGAAAACCATTTATTCTTATGAAAAAAAGATCATATTATGGGATGGAAGGAAATAACGACTAACTTAAGCTGAGGACTTGATTAATAATAGGAGGCTTCAATCAGGGAGGATCAATGCGTGGGAAAATAAGGATCGATAGAATTAGCTAAATCTGAAAAGAAGTGACATATAAGGGCCTTCAAAATGTTTTTGGGAAAAAATGAAGTTAAAAGTAAAGGAAATTATTCCAAAAACTTTTAGAGATCCTCACACCTATAAAATTAATAGAATCGTAATTATTGGATATTTGGGATACTATTATACATGGATGGTGCAAAGAAGTAACCTGTGCAGTTTGAATCAATTCAGAGGTTCCTTTCCTAAAAATTCCGGTGATCTTCTGAAGAAAAATTAGCCATTAAAAACGCTACAGAATGTAGTTCCTCTCTGATAAATAAGGGTCGCCATGATTCAGAATGTGCTCAAGGGCAGCTGCTCCCCACCCCACCCCTTTTATTGTGTGGAGGATACTATATTTAAAAACTTGGGACAATTTCTGTGGGCTATGCTTAAATACATGTGATGAGAAGTTGATGACCATGCGGAGCATGATTGTAATTAATATGTGAGTGTATTCGTTCAAGCCCTCTGTCTGGCACAGGCAAAGTTCACCCCCCAGTGTGGTCGAGACTTGAAAGGAGAATCTGGAGTGTGATGCTGCCTGAAAGAAAGGCATTGACAGAGTTGATTCAGGTTGAACTATGAAACTAGAGGCGAAAGAAAGCATCAACTAATTTGGTGAAACATTTGAGGAGCAGAAAAGCCAAATGTTCTTTAAACTGTTGCTGATGCAGAATGGCTGGGAATGCAGCAGCACTCTTAGAAATAATGTTAAGCAGATGAATTAGGTTGGAATTAAATATGCTGAATTTGAAGTGCTGATGGGCAATCACATAGACTTGGCACTCAATCTGTAAAACATCTACGAAAAGGAATAGTCTGAAATAGACATTTCATGCCCAATAATTAGTTTTGGAGGCTCTCTTTTAGTGTGGAAGATAGTACTTGAAGGGATCTTTAGAAGCAAGAGCAAGCTAGCACATGTTGTTGGGTGCTATCCAGTCAGCTGCACCTCCTAGCTGACCTTTGTATAGTACCATGAAACACTGCCTTGCCTTGCTACCGCCCCACAATGGTTTTGAGCTCATTGTTGCAGTCATTTGTCAATCCATCTCTTTTGTGTCCATGACTCTGTACCAAATATTACATCTATTTTCAGGGACTGGGTCATCTGATAATATGTCTACAGTATGTTAGATGAAGTCTTGTCATTGTCCTTTTTGAAGGATCATTGTGGCTGTACATTGTCTGAGACAAATTTGTTAGTTCCACTGAAAGTCCATGGTAATTTCAATATTTTTCACCATTACTATAATTCAGATATATACATTCTTCCATATTCATTGTCCAACTTTCAAAGGCTGAAATTGGAAAGACCATGGCTGGATCAGACACATATTAGTCCTCAAAGTAACATTTTTGCTCTTTAACCATTTAAAGAAGTCATGTGTAGATGATTTTCCCGATGCGATATGGTATTTTTTTTAAATTTACTGTTACTTCATGAACTTTGATTGCGGACTCAAGAAAAATTAAATCATTGACAATTCCAGTCTTTTCTCCATTTACCACGTTATCATCGATTAGTTCAGATGTGAGATTCTGGTTCTTTGGAAGCTATCGTGTTTTTTTTGATGATCATCAATAAATGTTTTAAGTCCTTGCCATTTCTAGCATGCAAGGATGTGTCCTTTGTGTACCACATGTGGTAGTAAGCGTTACTCCAATCCTGATGCGGCATTCTTTACATAGTCTAGCTGCTTGCATTGTTTTCTCAGCAGACACATTGATTTCCTGTGGTGAAAGGGGACAACTCTGAGACACACCTTTCTTGATTTTAAACCCCCCAGTATTCCCTTGGTTCATTCACGCTATTGCCTCTCAGTCTATGTAGAGGTTCTGCATGCTCAGAATGAAAAGTTCTGGAAATCCAATTCTTCTGAATATTAATCATATTTTGTTTTGCTCTACACAGTCAAATAGTTATGAATAGTTAATAAAACAAAAAGAATATTTTTTTCTGGCATTATTTTTTCAGCCAAGTTTCATCTGACGTGGATTTTAAAAGAAATCCTGTGTACCTTCTTTTGAATACAGTTTGAATTTCTGGCAGCTCCCTGGTGATGTACTGCCACATCATTTTTGAATTATCTTCAACTGAATTTTACTTTCATGCTATATTAATGATATTGTTTTGTCATTGCCGCAGTCTCTTGGGTCACCTTTCTTTGGATTGAGCACAAATACAGATCTCTTCAGTCATTTTAACAGGTAGCTGTCTTCCGTATTTCTTAGGTAGACTAGTGAGTCATTCTATTGCTTCATTGGTTTGTTGAAACCTTTTAATTGATATCTCATCAAATCCTGGGGTCTTGACTTTGCTACTTCCATTAGTACAGGTTGAATTTCTTCCTTTAGTAACATTGGTCTTTTTATATGCTATATCTTTAAATATTTGAAAGCTGGCCAATTCCTTTTGTGTACTGATTCTATATATTTCTTCCTCTTCCTTCTGTTGCTTCTGATGTGGTTCAATAGTCATAGACGTGTGTTGCACATTAGACCTCAAGCCTTGCCTTGATTGCTTGAGCTCCATCAGCTTGAGACATGCGAGCCTGTTCTCCTGGTTTTCTAACCTCAGGCATATGCACAGTTCATGAGAATGCTTTACTTGGTCTTCTAATCTACCCTTTAACCGTTTTTTAGCTTTTTTTCTTCATAATTT